ATACTACACAGGAGAGAACCAACAAACAACTCTATTCATATACAACACTGAATCCGGCGGGACTTGAACTCGGGTCGCATTGATGAGAGGCGAGCACTCACATCGCTACCCCACCCGTGCTTCCCGAAAAGAAAGATTTTATCAGGTGAAGAAAAAAACTCAGAAATTGCTAAGTTTCACTCAGCTGATAAAAGTCTTCCTATCTAATTATCTGCTCCAACTGGTGGTTAAACACTGACCACCATGTGCTGTCAACCAAACCGGATTCAGCCGATGACATCAAGTGAAACCCAGCAATAGATCTTGTGGTGCTGCTTTCCCATTTCAGACCATATCATTCCCTTGAATATCATTTTTTGTTGAACGGTTGCACATGAGAAGACACATGAATATGGATACAACTCAAACAAAGAATCTTATTCTCAAGAGAAGGGCATGTGATCTTCCAACGGTAAAATATTATGCTGAGATGAATTAGGTCTATTGCTGTGCAATATTCAGTGTACATACCGGAACTTGAATGCCCTGCTGTGCATTTGCAGAAGGCTCATTGTGCACAGTCTGAGAGAACTTGTAGCTAGGTCTGACTTGGCTCAATCCTCCTGGTACTCTTTGAGGCTGGTGGGACATCTGCTCATTGGGCATGCGTTGTCCTAACACCTGTTTCTGTTCTTGGGGAGTTGCTTGTGCCAGGACACTTGGGAGAAGAGGCTCTTGGCCCTACGCAATAACACAGGAATATTAGTAATAATAAAATAATAAATTGATTAATAAATAAACCAATAAACAAATGAGAGTCAAAGATTTTATCAGGTGATAAAAAAATAGTATTGCTGAGTTTCAATCAGCTGATAAAAGTCTTTGAATCTTATTATCTGCTCCAAATGCTGTTCAAACACTGACCACCATGTGCTGTCAACCAGACCGGATTCAGCTGATGAACATTCTGCATGGGACAGGAAATGATGTCAAGTGTAACCCAGCAATAGACCTTGTTCCTTGTGGTGCAATGCTTTCCAATTTCAGACCACATGTCATTCTCTTTAGTATCATTTTTTTGTTTAACGGTTGTATATGAGAAGATACATGAATATTTATATACAACTCAAACAAAGAATCTTATTCTCAAGAGAAGGACACGTGATCTTCCAATGGGAAAATATTACACTGAGACGAATTACGTCTATTGCTATGCAATATTCAGTGTACATACCAGAGCTTGGATGCCTTGCTGTGCATCTGCAGAACGCTGGCTGCGTACAGCCTGAGAGAACTTGTAGCTAGGTCTGACTTGGCATGATCCATCTGGTACTCTCTGAGGCTGCTGGGACATTTGCACATTTGGCATG